ATTTACGCCGTTTTTCTTAGGGGTTTGCTCATTCTTCACTCTTTTTCTTCTTTCATATATTGTCTTTTTGTTGTTGCTGCTTTTCTGTTGATACTAACTCATTGTCAATGCTACAAAGCACCATTCAATGCACATAAATAATGAAATATGCTTGAGTTGACTCGCATATTCGTTGTTCATTTGCTTGCAGTGCTTTTGTGTTTGGGGGGAAAATGTTTACGATTGTGTGTTTGCGTGCATATAAATTTCATTGTGCGTCAATGTTCCATGCGAGACAAAGTGGAAAAACTGATCTACTAGGCCATCTCGATTGTCACCGAGGAAGTTTCTTTTAAGTCTTAATATCTAAAAGAGAGCGGCGTTCACTCCACTGGTCTATACCAGTGAAAGTTCTATCCTCGAAGTTTCCTCTGGAAAATTATTAATGTAAGAAGGCTCAGATTTTCAGTACTACTATACTTTTAGCCAAAAGTTTTGCATAAAAAGAGCAAAGCCAAGCTTCCATACTAAAATCTAGAGTTCCAGTCATTAATTAATGCTAAACTTTATCTTACTATAGAGCTCAAATGGCTCCCACAGCAGCAGTAGGGGTTTACTTGCTGAAGTTTTGGGACTATAACTTACATGTAGAGGGTTGTTGATCGTTTTCGACGAATCTACTTGAAATAATACCTCCGTCACTGCATTGCCTTCAGTGATGCCTAACATTGCTTCCTCGTAAGTTTTTACTTTGACTAACTTGCCAAAACAGCGTCTGAAATTCTCAACAAACTTATGGGTCTCATAAAACACACCCAAAAAGGTTTTGCTTCGTTAAATATCCATGTACTGGCAATCTCAGCAGCTCAGCTAAGCTCAACTCAACTCAATCGAACTCAACTTGGCTTAACTTAATTCAACTCAGCTCAGTTCAACTTAACTGTACCTTAAAGCTCATTATCAACGAAGTGTCGCTTTCAATAAGACGAATCAAAATGTAGATTAAAGATTATTTTTGTGAAAGAGAGAGAGAGAGAAAGAGAGAGAAAGAGAGAGAGTGAGAGAGAATCAGGGACAGAGAGAGAAAGAGATAGTGAGAGAGAAAGGTAAAGGGAGAGAGAATGAGAGAGAGAGTGAGAGAGAGTGATAAAGAGAGAGAGATGGAGAGAAAGGGATGGGGAGAAAGGGAGATAGAAAGAGGGAGAAAGAGAAACATAATACGTTCAAAGGAATGTTATTTTTCGGTCACTTTGTAGGCATTCAAATTTAAATGTTCAACGAGAGTTTTAAGCACAGAAAGTCTTCACATTTCCTACCGACAATTTTGTGGTGCGTTTCTTACATTCCGCCTTTGGGACATTCGTATTCAATGGCATAACAGATTATTCAAAACTACTGCTGACCAATGCCTAACATGCAAACTAACTGCACTACAATAAATCTTTATGCATATGTATGTCTGCACTTTAGCGTAAGAACTTACAATGCATTTGCATATTTATACCCTTCAAAGCAGTGAAGGATATAAGAAATTTAATGTGTAAAAGAGTAAATGCTAAATGTAGCTGAAGAAATTGAAATAAGAAAGTGTACTAAATGTTATTAAATTTTTTTTATTTTAGAAAGTCCCTCGCACATCGGTTAAATTGTAAGATAAATTCCGTTTGCAGCTGCACTTCTGATGAATAGACGATCTATTTAAGTGTAGTGAATATGATTGAGTGGATCCTCAAAAGCTCCCACCCTTATAACCATAATCCCAGCTTTCAAACGGGTTGGCTACTGCACCTCGCACAGGGTTTACTTACGTTTTAAATGTGTATGAGGTGAACAACACAGTAGAAAATGGTTATAGTCTCGCTTCTGTAACTTCATACTAATGAGTAGAATTATAACCCCTTAAACGCCGGACTAGATAAAGAAACTAGTGGAACCAAGACTAAACTAAGGAACACCTGTCAACGCACTAATCTCTTGGCTCGTACGTCTCTGTTAGCAGTCATAACTATGAAGTCGTAGATAATTTCATCGGCCTTCGAAACAACGTCAACACTAACAATAATATCAGCCTTGAAATCTTATGTAGAATCACTCTTGACAATAATTGCTACCTCGGGCAGTATAAACATTCAAGAAGTCCCCTCGCGACGAAGTAAAAGCACACTCAATACCGCTACTGATTTATAGCAAAAAAATTATGAGCCGAGAGCAAAGAGTAAAGATTTCGCGAACTATTTATGGTCGTTTGCGCGGAGAAAACTACAGGCATTGGAACAATCAGCTCTGAGAGACAGCGAAAATACAATAGTTAAGCGAATTATATAATATGTAAATCATTTGGTGTCTCCGGTTGGCAAAAATTGTGTGAAACGAGGAAGTTAGTGGCGCTCTATTCTTGATTCGGTTATGATCTTATAAGCTATCAAGAAGAATAAACCGATTTGCTGAAAAAAATGCTCTAACAAAATGCCATTAAAGACTAAGCGGAATTATTTTTATTTTTTTTCAGAAATAATCTGACTCATCATAAATAAGTTTTGTAAGCTCCAAACGAAGGTTTCTTGAGAAGTTTTTTTTTGGAGAGAGCTCCTTTCAGTCAGTTTTCCAGATAAGAAAAGCCTGCCTATGAGGCTTAAAAAAAATAATATCCACAATGAAAAATTAAATTTAATTAAATGAACTTAATAGAAGACGGAGGACATATATAAATGGTACATTTTACTACCAATTACATTTTTAATTTTAGTCTCTTAGAAGAAAAACTGTCGATTTTGGCTATTGTTGGCCTCTTCTGTAGTTCAAATAGCTTCTTATCACGTCTAAGTTGATATCATGACACCTTTTGCAGCCACACGACGAGCGGAGCATCGATGATCACAGATGCACTGACAATCATTTAACCACGAACCCAGTGTAACCCATCTCCTGCCCAACAAACCGGGCGGCGCGCCTGAAGGATGAACGAAAATTCAACAGACCGGTGGCCGAAAATCAGTGACAAGCCGGACTGTTCTGAGCTCGAGGTTACCTCTTGTACTAAACTGCTATAGACCTGCTAATCAGTTGCTCTTCAGCGGCTACAAATTAGATGGGAAAAGGAGAAGGAAGTTATTTAATCATTTAAAGCTCTTAGTAGGTAGATTTTGATATCGAAACATGACTCAGAGGAGTCAATGCTGGCAGAATGAGCATTAAATCATCTAAAAGGGTCATGCATTTCAATGTTTTTTCAACATTAATACAAATAAAGGGATCTAAGGTATGAAAAAGTACGAATGGGCTATTGATAACCCCTCTGAACAATATAGTTAAATCAGAACTCCAAGCATCTTACTACGTCTATGGAGTGTAGGCAGAGAGGCAAATGACATTTGTAAGAAGAGATATTTTTATTGGCGCTCCAAAGTGTTAATTGCTTTTTAGGGATTCCAATTCACGCTACTATATAACTGAGAATGCGGACTCCATGCAACTGGAGTCATATTCTAAAATGAGCTTTAGAAGTGGAGTAAATCGGGTAATTGAACTACTTAGGCCAGTTAATTGAAAGCTAAGACGCCTTTTGCTTTATTAGCGCAAGCAAAAATAATGAAGAGAATAACTTCCTGTTCAATCTTTACACCGAGAAATGTCTACCAAGAGTAGCAGTCCCGCTGAGCGCAGAGAAAGGAGACATCGGAGTGCGGAAAAACATTCAATGAAAGTAGAACTGTCGCTAGTCTCCGCTTGTCGTATAGCTTCCTTGTTTCCAATGCGGAAACCTTTCTCATCAGAAGTTGACATCGTCCACGCTTCTGCGCCATATAGCAGCATGGGTAGCTACCTGTAGAGCTTGGTTTTCGTTCGCCAAGAGAGAGAGAGGAGATAATTATAACTTTAGATTGCGTAAAAAAGAGGGCTCTTTCTTACATTTCGAGACACGATACTATGGGAATTTGTAAAGAAGATGAAAATTTCTAAACTTTGTCAATTTTATTCACCCGGCAATCGAAGACCAAACCACCTTTCTTTTGAATTCTCACGTCTGACAGCACTTTGAATCAATAAAAAGATGAGAATATTAATTCATGAACGTGTGTATTGACATACAAACATGCATTAGACTAGTACGTTTCTTAGCAATCGCATTCTTGGTATTATCTGAACTCTTACAGCTGCCACTGGAGATGTTGAGATGTTGATTTTTTTTTTTTTTGTTTTTTTTTTTTTGACGAGTGAAAAAATCTTTGTTTTGCATTTTGCAGTTAAACTACAATCGAACTGCAAGACACTTTGGTATGTAAATATGTATTTGCATGTATGGCAGACTTATTTGTTTGAAGTTTGGACACTCACATATATACATACGTGTATTCCACTATTCTTCGACGTAAGCTCACTTCTTTTGCGCACAGCATTTTCATATACATTCATTTTGTTGTTGGTTTTATTGTGTATGTATATATATTTGATGTATGCGATTTGAATACGTGTTGTTGCCTCCGGATAATGGCTAATATTCTGTGACATGCGTTATTTATGCTTACAACTGGTTTTATCCTTTTTAAGGATTCTCCAGAATTCTTCAGTATTCTTCAGTATGTAAAGCTTTTGCACAAGTAAAATGCTTACTTTTGTGTGCAAAGATGAGATAAGTGAAATCCACTCAAGATGGTTGGTAATTGATTTGTGTACAATGTGAAAAATGTACGTTTGCATATGTTTGTATGTAGTTGGAGACGGATTAAAGACATTAGAAATATAGCTAAATATATTTTCTAAAAAAATATAGAAATTGATTCTTCTTAACTTCCATTTTTTCTTATTCAATTTTCGAAAGTCCTTGGGAAGTCCTTATGCTGATATTGAAAAGAGAAATACCAAAAAAAAAATATAATTTATTTTTTGCAAATTAACTTTAATGTATAAATTCGTAGAAGCCTAAAAAATAGTTAACAAAAATTGATTGTAACAATGCCAAATATAACATGAAATCCGTGAAAAATCCTTCAGAAATTTTTACTCAATCTAAGAGCGTACATTTAATGACTTCTCAAACGGTACTTCTTTACAGTTCTGTAGTGATAGCCATCTTGGGAGACGGGTGTATCCACTGGTGGCAAGTATTCCTGTGCGGGTGGCAAGTATTGTTGCTGTGGCTGTACAGGAGGCAGATACTGTGGTTGTGGTTCAACGGGGGGCAAGTATTGAGGTTGAGGTTGGACAGGTGGCAAATACTGTGGCTCTGGTTCAACAGGAGGCAAATATTGTGGCTGTGGTTGGACGGGAGGTAGATATTGCGCCTGTGGTTGGACAGGTGGCAAGTATTGTTGTTGTGGCACTGAAGGCGGCAAATAAGAGGACGAGAGGTGTGAAACATCAGCGGTGACACAGCCAATTAGAGCCAAAACGGGAATGATGAAGTTCTGGTAAATAGGGTTAGAGTGAAAGAGAGCGAGAGAGAAAAATGCTAAGAGTATTAATTTGAAAAAGCAAATATGTTAAAATTAAGTCAATAAAATAGTTTTCAAATGAGGTATTACTCGGAACTGTTGAATAAATTCCCAAACTTAGAAAAAAAAACAATAATTTTTAGCTAACTGTACAACTTTGATAAGGAAAAAAAATTTAAATATTTCAGTTTTTTACAGGAAAAGTGAATTTTAAGAATTTATTGTCTATGGTAAAAAATATGTATAATTTTTAAATATTTCTAAAATTATTATTTCTTAACAATTGTACCTTAATAATTTAAATAAAGCAATATGTGAAAGTTTAAAAAATAAAACAAATTTTCGAACTTAAAAATAATTTCTTTTGGCTTAATTTACAAGCCCATAATTTCATTAATTTCTTTCAAAAGGTGTCTACAACTTTTCTTGAAATATTTTGTTGTGTTTTTTTTAAAAACTGAAAAGCATATTAAAAGTTAATGGCAACTCTTAAAAACTCTGTTATGTCAAATATGTATATGAAAAAAATGACTAAACTTTTCTATAAAGTTTAATTAAATTTTTCTAAAATAAAATTTAATTTTTTTAATAAGCTTTAATTACATTTTTTCCAATAAATTTTAATTTTATATTTTCCAATAAATTTTAATTCATTTTTTTTTTCAATTAAAATTTACTAATTTTTTTCATTAAATTTTAATTGGGTTTTTCTCATTAATATTTAATTATTTTTTTTAAATTTCAATTTATTTTTTTTTTTGAATAAATTTTAGTTATATATTTTTCAATATATTTTATTTAATTTTTTTAAATTAAATATTTTTTTTCCATATTTCTTAATTAAATATTTCAAGAATATTAAGATTTCCTGATTTGGAAGTATATCTACCTGTAATGGTTTTAAGACTTTTTTCAACTACTTCGAAAATTTTTATTAATAAAAATTTAAAATAATTTTAAAAAATATATTAATAAAAAATTGGAAAAGATATTTTCAGAAATTAATTTTTGGGAAAGCTTTTAATCGAGAAGCGATTTTTCAATTTCTCTAATTTTTTATCAATAAGTTTTAATTACATATTTTTCAATATATATTAATAATTTTTTTTCAATAAAAATTTATTAAATTTTTTTTCATTAAATTTTAATTACTTTTTTCCAATAGATATTTTTCAATTTCTCTTATTAAGCTTAAGGCTGCTTGAGCTTTTAAAAAGAGTCAAGTTAAAATTTAAGAAAGTACAAGAAGTTTTAAATTAGTTTTTGGAAAAAATGCCTAATTTTTCGTATTTAATTATAATTTTTTGAAAAGAAAAACATGTATTTTTTTAAGGGCTTAAATAAATTAAAATTATAAATATTGTGTTATGTTAGTTTTATAACAAATTAGTACTCATCGTTTATGATATTATTTTATTCCACAATTTTTACAAAAAAAAAAAAAAAATTGTTTCAAATAAAATTTTTCTTGAAAATAAAAATATTTTTTATGGTAGCAATTCTCACAAATTTTTTTTTCACACTTTTTCTCTTTCTTTGAACTCACCATTTTTGTTGATTCCTGTTTAACTGTTTACTGTGAATATTAAGCTGCTATTGATGCTGGTTTAACGCATTCGCTTGGCTTTTATACATAGACCAAAACCATAAAATATTGATTTGAGACTAAACAAATTAATAATGACATTGAAATTTTGACACCGGATGAAAGAAAAAGATGCATCAAAAATTAAGAAAAAATAACTACAATAATTTTATATACTTGTATATCTATAATTATAAAAGTAATTTACTAAATATTTACAACAACAAATCAACAGGTGACTTTAAATTAGGGTTGGAGTGCACGCTAATGACCTTCCATCACTTCGTCAAAAGCATTTTACACGAAATAGTTTATTAATGAAACATATTTACAGTGAATAAAGCTAAATATATATAGAAAAGTAATGAACTTATTTTTGATTTGTTTCATTTTGCAATTTTGCTTAAATTTTAAATTTGCGTTAGGTCAGGCCTGTTTTCATGGTACTCCGTTTACATATCTACACCTGAAGTTGGTGTCGTTGCCTTCAGCAGTCAAAACACACTACAGCAAATAAAGCAAATTGATGGCAAATTTAAAATTAGTATTATAATAGAAACAATAACAAAAGCTTAATGAATTAGCTGCCAACAATACGAGCATTCGTCTAATCCGTCTTCGAATATGTAGATCAGTTTGTGACTCAGCTTTTGCTTGGCAATAGACAAATCAACACCTTGCCGCCGGCTATAGTATTTATCATGAATTTTAATTTTTAACCTACTCACTTTTGAAGTGATGAATTGTTTTTTTTTTTTGTTATTTGTCAGACATGAAAAAGATTAGCAAAATTTTAGTTTTGCTATAAATCATATTTTGGTGTTCAAACTGAGTAAACTTTTGTACCTCATTCAGATAGTGCAGACAGTCTTATTTCTTTAAGATTAATAGTTATTATTTCGAATTATAAATATTTTTAACCTCAATGTAATTTAGCTAACCAAAATAGGCTCGACGGTTTCCCTCATTCAAAATACTCGTTTAATGGCCCATGAGAAAAACACAGATTTTCAAAATATAATATAAATCACAAAGGGATATTCTTTGGCCTTGATGCTTATTTATAGACATGGCAACAGCTAAACGAATTCGAAATTGTGACCTTCTGAAGAGTATAGTAGAATCTGAAGGTATGATTGGTATATAGCAGGACCACTTTTCCTTTAAACTTCCCAGTTAAGATGATTGTTTTAAGAATATTTCTTTCGCTCTACAATACGCTCTTTCGTAATACCGCAGCTTTTCAACAAAGCAACGCCATCTATTGATAACTTACTAATTCAGGTCAACAGATGTCACCATCTGTTAAAATCGCTTAGGGATAAGATATAATTTTGGATGCCAAATAATAGACAAATAATTTGCAATCAAATTTTGTGTCAACTATAAATTAAAATGTAAGCTGCCATATCAATAAAATTGGATCAAATTGTACTTGGTGTGCAAATTTGATTAAAATCGGTAAAGTAAAGTAGGAGTCCATCCCTGACACGCGATATATTTTAATTGAAAAAAAACAAACATTTTACTTATTATTCTTATCCTATTTTATTTTATTTAATTTAAACCTTCACTTTTATTTTATTTTTAATATTTCATTCTATTTAATTTCATTTATTTTATTCTATTTTATCGCCGCGGTAAAATAGTTTTGAGCATTGCGTACTGACATTCGGAAAGCTCGGGTTCATATCTCGGAGCCAGCGACATCCAGTTGTTATGGAAAATTAATTTAAAAAAATATTTAAATAAATTTTTTAGTTGCGGTCGCCCCTCGGCAGGGAATTTCCACCCTTCTGAGTGTATTTCGGACATGAAATAAAGGCTCCTCGTAAAAAAACCATCAGACGTTTGGAGGCGACTTAGTATAAACTATAGGTGTCTCCATTTGTTGGAAAAACATCTGGACAAAACCACAAATTGGAGGAAGAGCCTCAGCCGAAAAATCGCTGAGTGCATAAGTTCGTGCCCGATTCCGATGGATGCCGTTCGAATCGTTTGAGAGTGACGCTCGTGAAAGAAATATATATTGTACATAATATATATCGTTGGAAAGGTGATAGTCCGAACTGTTAATCAAGCATCAAATAACTTCATTTTGATTTGAGTTGCTTAGTGAAAAAACGCATGGCAGATGGACAACGAAAAAGATCATATGCGTCATATTTTGTTATACGAATTCCGCAAAGGAAAAACAGTAGGCGCTTCAACTAAAGATATTCTCGAAGTTCATTTGGACCGTGCTACAGCACTCCGCACAGTAAAGAAATGGTTCGCGAAATTTCGTTCTGGAGATTTTAACCTCGAAGATCAGCCTCGCAGTGGACGGCCTTCTGAGCTTGATGACGATATTCTAAGGACTTTAGTTGTGAGTAACTCACGTATTTCGACGGAAGAGGTTGCCAGTGAATTGAACGTCAACAAATCAACTGCGTTTCGTCGTTTAAAAAAGGTTGGGTACACTTTGAAGCTCGATACATGGCTGTCACATCAGTTGAGTGAAAAAAACAAAGTGGACCGTATGTCAACAGCAATTTCTTTGCTTCGACGGATCAAAAACGAACCTTTTTTGGATCGGCTCGTGACTGGTGATGAAAAATGGATCCTGTACAACAATGTTCAACGCAAAAGAACATGGAAACAGGCACACGAAGGGGTGGAACTGATGTCGAAAGGTGGATTGCAGCCGATGAAGGTACTGCTGTGCATTTGGTGGGATATCCGAGGCGTGATCTATTTTGAGCTGGATAAACGATCATTGCCAACAAGTATTGTCAGCAATTGGTCGAATTGAAGAAAGCAATTGATGAAAAACGTCCGATTTTGGCCAATCGCAAAGGAGTTCTTTTCCATCATGACAACGCCAGGCCACATGTTGCAAAACCGACCCTGGCCAAACTGAAGGAGATGAATTGGGAAATTATGCCGCATCCCCCATATTCATCCGACATTGCACCTTCTGATTGTCATTTGTTTCGATCGCTGCAGAACAATTTGAATGGAAAAAAATTTAAAAATGTGGAAGACGTCAAAAACCCCCTTGACACCTTTTTCAACGAGAAACAGCGCGATTTCTATGAATCAGGCATCCGTAAATTGGTTGAGCGTTGGGAGTGGATTGCCGAACATGATGGCGAATACATAATTGATTAATAAAAGCGCTTTCTTCAAACAATTTCAATTTTAGTTTGCACTTGAAATCGGGCACGAACTTATGCACTCATCCAATATATTATATTTTCATGTATTTTACTTAATTTAATTTAATTAATTTTATTGTATTTTATTTCGCTCTACATTTATATTTTTTATCTTATTTTTTTTAATTTTTTTAATTACTTAATATAACTTAGTTAAGGTTTTTTCAATATATTTTATTTTATCTTTA